AATCTTTTCAAAAATCTTTGATAAAATTGGAAGTATAGATATTGGTCAATAGTTGTTCATATGTCTTTTACGTTGCCACTTTTATGGATAGATGATACTCTTGCACACTTAAAGGTCGATGGAAATGTACCTGTGCAAAGGTTTAAATTAAAAATATGCGCAACAGATTCAAAAATTATTGGAGCACTTATTTTTAGAATTTTAGGACCAACATCATCCAAACCCGTAGATTTATCAATTTTAAATTTTGAAAGTTCATTAAAGACTTCTGTTGGAGATAAACAATAAAATTTAAAATAGTTGCCACCAACTTTTTCTTCAATAAACTCTTTTAACTTTGGGGATTCGAAATTTTTTGACTCAGCTACAGCATGTACAGTACCAAAAATGCTCATCGAAGTGTTCACAAACTTTTCTTGGTTCATTGACCTCAGATCCTTGAAAAGTAACACTTGTTATTGGGCATTTTGACTCTGCATTCGAATCTTTGAGATGTTTCCAGATTTCACTAGTTTTTGAATTAGACTGTACAGCCTTGGAGAAATAGTCAGTCTTACATTAATTTGTGGCGGATAGCTTGTTTCTTGTAGTTTTTAAAATCTTTCTTTTTATGATAAAAGTCTCTTTTAGCACGTAGTTGATTTATATCCTGATTCAACTACTTCGGTTGAGACTTTTTCATTACTCTTTTCGTTATTATTGGATAGATATAAGAAGATGTGGTATGAGTGCCAATGAGACAACTCTCCATCCAAGTCAAATTTTATAAAAGTAAACTATTATAGGTCAAAGTACGGTCTTCAACACCGTCGGAGCCTTGGCTCACACCGAACAGCAAGCTATAAAGGGCCCCAAAAATTACTAGTGTAAAACCATTCAAACGGGAAAACCAACGGTCTAATCTATATAAAAAATGAGAAACGAGAAACACTTATGAATAGATATAGGAAGATGTGGTATGAGTGCCAATGAGACAACTCTCCATCCAAGTAACAATTTATAAAAGTAAACACATCAACAAACGACAACTACTGAACATCAGATTCCTGACTTAGGACAGGTGCAAACAATTGCAGCGGGTTTAAACGTTTTAATGGTACCAAACCTTCACCCTTATCTGAAACAATAGTGTAACATCACAACAAAGAAAGAGCATGTTTATTTAAAACGTTTAATAATTTAGAGTACCATGCTTCCAATGCATGATGCCTCAATTGACGGCCCTTTAATAACAAGCAAGTTTTGAATAAAAAATATCTGTGTATAGTATTGTGATTGTTAATTTAATTGGCGATTTTGTATTGTTTCTTTTTAACCTATTATAATTAATGTAATCGTTTTAAAAATTCTACCCTATATAGAATCTTACATTTGTACTTGAGAATATTATATTGAGTGTCAATATAATTTAGTAATAAAAACATTACTAATAGTCCAGGGCTGCCAAGTCTCAATTAGCGTGAGACTCACGCATTTTCATGCATAATTTGGCGGCATTTTCCTTCGATCTATTGTTTTTACTCTTTGATCTTTACAATTTTGGCCAAATCTCACGCATTTGCTTCATGAAAACTTGGCAGTACTGTAATACCAAGGATTTGTTTTTACTATAGTAAATACAAATCCTTGCTAATACTTATACCCTCATTTGTACTTTGATATAAAAGACCGAGTATGTCATGTGCCGAGTTTGTATTGTGAAAAATCCGGGAAGGTCTATTAACAGGACAGATAAAACAAGGACAGTTATTTTCGATACGTTTTCATCTGTAACTTTTGTTTTAACCAACATATTGTTAAAATTTAAACTGTATAATAAAGAACAGGGTATATACTTACATTATTTGTAAAAAAAAATAAAATAAAAAATTAATAAGTTAAAAAAAATCTGCCAGGACAGTTAAATTTTAAGAAAAAAATGGCTGAAATTGCCGAGAAAAATTTACTTATAATTGTTATAATTTCTCCAAAACAACTGTCTGGCATAATATTTTTGTACGATTATAAAGTTTAGGGAATACTCATTCTAAAAATCTAGAATTTAATATTTTTTTCGATTTTTAAAGGTAAAAAAATCTGCCAGGACAGTAGCCTACTCCGTTAAATTTCTGTTTAAATGGCGGAAATTAACAACGCAATTTCTAACTATAAATGAAATAGTTTCTGTATTGCGATTGTCTGGCATACTATTTTGTTACTGTTATAAAGTAACAGACCCAATTATCAAATAAAATAAAGAAATTGAAAAATTTTCATTTTTAAAGTAAACAAAAATCTGCCAGGACAGTACCCTATTAAGTTAGAAATTTTGTTGAAATCAGCTCAAAATCAAAATATAAAGTTAAATATCTTCTTCAAAATGAATGTCTGGTAAGCAAATTTTGGTTCATTGGAAAGTTTGAAATATAAGCTTTAAGAAAATATAAAAAAATATGGACTTTTATTTCATTAACACAAAAAAAATCTGCCAGGACAGTAGCCTTTTTCGTCAGAAATTTTGTTGAAATTCGCTTCAAATCAATGGATAAATTTGAATATTTTGTTCAAAATGCATGTCTGGCAAGAAAATGTGTGTTTATTGGAAACTTTGTATTATCAGCTTTAATAAAATATAAAATTTTATGAACTTTTATTTTGTAAACATAAAAAAAATCTGCCAGGACAGTAGCCAACTATGTTAAATGTTTGAATATATGGCGGAAATCAACGTAATTTTTTAATTATAAATGAAATAGTATTTTTATTACCATTGTCTGGCATACTTTTTTGATATTATTAGGACCAAATCATTCAAAAAATCTTTGAATTTATTTTTTAATCATTTCTCTAAGTAAAAAAAATCTGCCAGGACAGTACTATATCATATTGGAACTAGTGAAGAAATTTGTTTCAAATTTAAAATAATTTTCAAAGAATGATTTTTTTATTTTATTCAAAGTTTGCAGTTTAAGCTTTATCATTGTTAGAATCATTAAAGTGAATATATTTAGAAAACATAATTACTTGTGTGTTCATTAAAACATTGTTTACTTATTTTGTTATGTTGATTAATTTGATCTCTTTTCAGTTTATTAAAGGCAGCAGACAGGTCATTGAACGGGCATGGGCTTATGTTTTATTAATCAAAAACATTTCATACCCATACATATATATAAATCATCATACAATACAATAAAAAAAAAACACACAAGTGTTAAAAACTGCAAAATCTTTTTTTTTACATCGGAAGACAAGTAAAATATTAACAAATTAAGTCAGGTAAATTATGTTTTGACAGTAATAAAAACTTCAAAGTCACTGATTGGTGTCAAATCCTTCAAAAGGTATTTATTTTCACTAATTAGTAATGTGTTTAGAGTGCCTTCTTTCATCCCCGTACACGAAACGTGTTTCCAAATATTGCATTTCTTTACTCCTTTCTGCCATTCACACCCTAACATGTCTTCTACTGAATCATATTTGCCACACTCACAATTACATTCCACCACACTAGTTTTATATTTCGATTTACCTTTCATGCTAATTTTTTTCTTTGGAAATGGAATAAATTCACCTTTTTCCAAACAAATCACAAGATGTTCTCTAAAAAGTTCAGTGTCAAATTCTACATGTATCCCACCTGAAAAACTTATAAAACAAAATTCTACAGCATTTGTAATTGCGAACAACCCACAATCTATGGAATTAGTTTGTTTCTGAACTTCTGGTATCTTGACCAACAGACGTTTTTTATCATGTGAAAGCTGTATTTCTGAAGATGTTGTTAGTGAGCTCTGAGACTACTATAACACGTACTCTTAGATGCTTGCGGTAAAATTGAGATCTAATCAAATTTAACTTTTAAATATACAATCAAATAGTGTTTCGAATTGGGTTTTTTTCAACTATATTCTTAATAAATAATTATAACTTAAAACAATAAATATCTCCTCATAGGTATTCATTACCACACGCTCGTTTACGGTTGACATAACAGAATACACAAATACACAGATTCAATGACTGGTCGTAAAGTTTGGCACGTGCCAACCAAATATTTAGCTATAGGACGACTGTTGGGCAGATTTTTGAGGTATTAATCTATTATCAAATGAATATTTTTATCTTTTCCTAAAATTTATTGTTCAAACTTTACAACGAATAACAAAAATGATAATAATCTATTCAACTTTCCATTTCGATTTGAAACCAATTTCTCCACAAGTTAATTAAGACATAATAAGTTACTGTCCTGGCAGATTTTTGTTTACTTTAAAAATGAAAATTGTTGAATTTCTTTATTTTATTTGATAATTGGGTCTGTTACTTTATAACAGTAACAAAATAGTATGCCAGACAATCGCAATACAGAAACTATTTCATTTATAGTTAGAAATTGCGTTGTTAATTTCCGCCATTTAAACAGAAATTTAACGGAGTAGGCTACTGTCCTGGCAGATTTTTTTTGTGTTAATAAAATAAAAGTTCACATAATTTTATATTTTCATAAAGCTTATATTCTAAACTTTCCAATGAATCAAAATTTGCTTACCAGACATTCATTTTGAAGAAGATATTTAACTTTATATTTTGATTTTGAGCTGATTTCAACAAAATTTCTAACGTAATAGGCTACTGTCCTGGCAGATTTTTTTACCTTTAAAAATCGAAAAAAATATTAAATTCTAGATTTTTAGAATGAGTATTCCCTAAACTTTATAATCGTACAAAAATATTATGCCAGACAGTTGTTTTGGAGAAATTATTTCAATTATAAGTAAATTTTTCTCGGCAATTTCGGTCATTTTTTTCTTGAAAATTAACTGTCCTGGCAGATTTTTTTTAACTTATTAATTTTTTATTTTAAATATTTTTACAAATAATGTAAGTATATACCCTGTTCTTTATTTTACAATTGAAATTTTAACAATATGTTGGTAAAAACAAAAGTTACAGATGAAAACGTATCGAAAATAACTGTCCTTGTTTTATCTGTCCTGTTTTTAGACCTTCCCGAAAAATCCCACTTGGAAGATGGCTTGTTTTTTACACGAAGTTGCATTGCAGTTTCTTTTGAAAACGGATGACAGCGTTCCCTCAAGGAGATTTTCAAATGTTACCATAAAAGAATGCAATGCCAAGGGGAAAAGTCGTTTTTCAAACGCATATGTCAAATATGATTCGGGATTTGGCGTTCCACTGTTTTTATTTTGGCAAGATTCCATTTGCAAATTAATGGAAAGGAAAATAATAAAGGATGAAAACATAAGAGACGATAAAATTTTTGAGGATCTTATCAATTTTCTTGAAGATGGTAACTATTTGGACACTAACTGGGTTTTTACCTATAGGTTTTTTTTTGGGGGGGGGGGGGGGGGGGGGGGTTTCACTAAAAACCTAAAAACCAGAAACGCCGTATTTTCACTTTAGTACACATTTGTTTTCTGCATTTTGTGTTGCAGAACACTCATTTTTGTTCTGTCTTGTGCAAAATGATGTATTTTTAGTTCTTACCAGGCCAAGTTATTCATTTCCAAATCCCCTATCCCAACCCCCACCCCCCCAATTTACCTTTATTGGCTTTAAACATTATCTAAATTTGAAGGAGGTCAAGATTGATTTATTTACAATAGACTTAGAACTGTAAAAACATTCATATACATGACTAGGTGTTTGCCGAAGATAAATTTTCATTGGGGTATTTAGAGAACCTGAAAACATGCAGAAATTAAAAATTTTGGATTTCTACCATCATGACCATATGTCTACAGTAACTGTTTTTAAACAACTAAAATCGTATGGCTACTTAAATCGATAAAAGATACCAAAGAGACATTCAAAACTCACACACAATTACAACACTATGGCAAAAAAATGAAAAAAGATGAAAAGACGAACAAAAGTCTACCAAACAATACATGTACAAAACTACAATTTCAAAGGATAAACAACAAACACCCAAATATATAGTTATTACCAACTGGGGAATATCCCAGATGCTCTAGAAGGATAATAGATTCTGTTCCATATTTGACACCTGTAGTGTTCCTCATGGTAAATACAAATTTGGTGATTAGTCTCATTTAATAGTGATAACACAATCAAGGAAAAGAGGGCAGGATTGGGATTACAACAATAGGTACATATCCCTGGTCATCTGTGACACATATTTCATAATAGTCAATCAACTTGTGATTTGGCTTCTGTAAAACTTGGAAGGGATAACTGCAACTTTACCACTTTGAACCCTTGGTTCAATAGCCTCTTTGTAAGCAGTGACCCTCTATCAAGAAATATATACACTCCATATGTGCATGTAGGCACTGCTGGATTTCTGTTATCTGTACATAAAAAGCTTAAAGCCTAAAATCATCTTTGTAATACAAGTTTGTATATTTTTTGGAATTTTAGATTACAAAATATTCTTATGGGTAAATATTGATTTTCCCTTGCTCAAGCTTTACAGTCTCCTCCCCTTTAGGGACTTGACAGGAGCAACTGTATTTGACTCTGTGATTTACTTTTCAGCAAAGGCTCTATTTTTTCTTGTTAACTGTTTGTATGTGCTGAAACTAAATAGAATGTACAAGTAGATTACTTAATTACTTACTTATTAGGAGTTAAGATGTCAGAGTAGTAAACTTAATTAACAAAAAACACAATACTTATTTATAACTCTATTTTTATGTTATGTTTTCCACAATATTTTTTATTCAAGATGTGTCTGCATATTGGTAGATCCTGTCTTTCTGTTTCTCATTTCTCGTTTTTATATAGATTAGACCGTTGGTTTTTCCGTTTGAATGGTTTTACACTAGTAATTTTTTGGGGCCCTTTATAGCTTGCTGTTCGGTGTGAGCCAATGCTCTGTGTTGAAGGCCGTACCTTGACCTATAATGGTTTACTTTTATAAATTGTAACTTGGATGGAGAGTTGTCTCATTGGCACTCATACCACATCTTCCTATATCTATAAATTTATGTATTGCAGTTCCAAAATATTCTTATGGGTAAATATTGATTTTCCCTTGCTCAAGCTTTACAGTCTTCTCCCCTTAGGCCTTTGGGGACTTGACAGGAGCAACTGTATTTGACTCTGTGATTAACTTTTCAGCAAAGGCTCTATTGTTTCTTGTTAACTGTTTGTATGTGCTGAAACTAAATAGAATGTACAAGTAGATTACTTAATTACTTACTTATTAGGAGTTAAGATGTCAGAGTAGTAAACTTAATTAACAAAAAGCACAATACTTATTTATAACTCTATTTTTATGTTATGTTTCCACAATATTTTTTGTTCAAGATGTGTTGGCATATTGGTAGATCCTGTCTTTCTGTTCATTTAAATATAAGGCCAATCAAACAACAGAATAAGATGTCTAAGTGTCTCAGCCTGTATTTCTCGGATGTTACACTTCTTTTCATTTGTTTTTTTTTTTTTTCATTTTGAAGATAATTCCTTAAAATTAATTTCTGTATATATACAGGGAAGAACAAAAAAATTTCCTTCCTTAAATTTACAGATCTAACATTGTTGGGCTGTTGTTTAGACGAATTATATATATATATTTAATGGGAGGTAACTCTAGGGTTTCCATGTCTTATAGTCACAAAATCTCTTTAATCATAGGCTTATGATACATGTATCTGACATGAGTGTGCATCACTGTTATATTATGTGGTGTAAAACTAAATTTTTTAAGTCTGTTAATTCATATAATCACTGCAATAGAAAATTTATATTTCAGAGAATAACAGAAAACATCTTATGAAAGTCACTAGTGCAGGGTCAGAGTCTGAACTTCAGTCTATTTTGGCACATCATTTGTTCGCACCATTAGCATCATCCTCAAAATATTTAGTGGATGAATCTAAAGCATACTCTGAACAATGCCCAGCATGCAAGAAGAAATTAAACTTGGGTGACACTTCATTTGGTTAGTATATTTATTTGTCAGTAAAAAAGATTTCATATGTAACAAATTTTCACACACATGTATGCATGGACCATAGTTAGGATCATTAATGGAAAGGAGAGGTGAGATATACGTTAAGGAGGCAGCAATCCTATGACAGAAAAAACCATAGGACATCTATCATGTCCATAGGGCAACAATAGACATATATATGTCAATAGAATATGTTGTGTTCCAAATCGTCCAGAGTTGAAAAGTAATGTTGGCTGTCTTAAACTTGCAGTGAGGTCAGAGTTTTTTTTTTTGCTCCATGTTGAAGGCCTCACTGTGACTTTACTACTACTTGGTGGTGTTTAACGACCATGAGGGTCTCGCACGAGACTTTGAGATGAAAAATAGCAATAAAAGCACTATTCCTTTGCTTTTTGTGTGTTTTTTGCTGTACATGTACTGATTTCCTGTCATGTATGGATACCCATTTCCTTTGTTTTTCTTTGAAATATGACAAAAAACGATCTATAAAGATCTGCCATTGAATTGAAACCCAATTCTTCAAATAATGAAAAAAACATTAAAATATAACATAAGATAACTACTGATGAGGTCCAAGACTTTGGACAAGCACACATGAAAATGTGGTAGGGTAAATCTTTTTTTTGAAATCTCAATCATAGATTAACAAAACATACATACAAGAATATCCTAAAAACCAAGTACAGAAAGAGTAATCAACTCTAGGATAAGAGTAACAAAAACACAAAATAAATAACAAATTATACCATATCAAAGAATGCTCAAAGTGACTGAATAAGCAATCTCAAATACTTAACCTGCTGATATATATTTATGTCATTCTATTCTCCAATCAGTTGCTGTACTTTATTAAAGATGTTCCTTGGAACCCCTAAATCAAATGAAGTTAGACATTTGTTCATGATGGATGCCAGTTGAGTGATACTGTACAGATTCCTTGGAACCTCTAGCTAGAGATACTGCCTTTTCAATGTAACTTAGAAATGTCCTTTAAGACTATACCATTTAGACATACATGACAATTTGTGTGTCTACTTATATATTGAAAATGACTTTGATTAAATGATTGAAATAAGATTTTTCCTAATTGATTTTTAGGACATGCAGACTATTGGCACGGGCTTACTGATATTCTTATTGGTCGAAGTACTGTGAAAGTTGGAAAGGATTTGGAGGATGAAGAAAGTGTTGATGGCAGTATGGGTGAACCATCACATAAATATATGAGAAGAAATAATGGACAGAAGTTTGGATCATCAAGAGATACAGTAGATTCAGATGGAGATTCAGATTGCAGTTCTGTATCAGTACATTTGAATGAACAAAGGGATCATTTACCACAAATATTTTCTCAAACTATAACAAATGCATTTTTTGAATCATCAAAATGCTCACAAATGTCAGATTTGTTTATCCCATCCTTTTTTGCAACACCAGATGTTGTTAGTATTCATATGTATAATTGTGAGACAGATAGGTTGTACACATCTGAAAATATGAAAATTTGGTCTGGTGATAATTATAATATTGGCACAATAGTTTGTATTTGGTTAGCGCTGCACTTTGAGAGATTTCAGAACAAAGTTCCTGAAGAAGAATTCACCATGAGAAATGTTCCGAAAGCAAATTTCAAGACTTTTGTTGGGGATCTGTTGCCCATTTATGAGAAAAATTTGACAAAACCCTTGAAGAATTCAAAAGAAAGAAATTCATCTGATATTAACTTTGACATGAAATTTTTATTGATTGTATCAGAATATTCAAAACAAATGTCAGAAAAATTGCAAAGGATTCAAACTATGTATGAAAAGAAGCTACAAGAGTCTGATGATTCTAAAGAAATTCCTTTTTGAGATGATGATACATGTTGAAAGCTGCAACCTAAATATGACAAAATACAGATTTTTTTTATGTAAATATTTTGCATAGTTTACATCTAACTCTGCCAAGTCATCCCCATTTATTAGGCCACCGCACCCATCATTAATCATGAATGACTGTTGAACCCATTATTTGAATTTTCTACTATCAGGTGATACCAACTTTTATTAGTAAAATGTAAAATTCCTATAAAATTAATTCTGTGAGTTTTAAGGTAGTTGGAATTATTGAAATCACTTTGATTTGTAAAGTAAAACACTTGGTAAGTTGGAACCTACATCAACCTGAAACATCATTAGTGTATCTCGCCATCCAACATACATGTCGACAGTTAAAACCAATAGGAAATGGAGGAGGGGGCGGGGGGACTGGCAAAATTGTAATCTTTTATGGCCATTTAGCTGAACTTTAATTAGGTTTTGTGTAATTAGAAGTAATGGTCCTTGGACTTTATAGAATTTTTTTGTTCTAGATTTTCTCCTTATGAAAATAAGAGGATGTGGTATGATTGTTAATGAGAGAACTATCCATCAGAGTCCAAATAGATGTAAGCAATTATAGGTCATCGTAGCGTCTTCAACAATGATCAAAACCTATACTTAGTAGAAAGCTATAAAAGGCCATGTATTGCATACATTGAGCAGATATTTGATATATCTTTGTAAAATGAGTAGTTATAGATAAGAAGTTTCATTATGGTGAACCTATTTTTGACCTAGTTATGATTAGGCCTCCTTGCTGATATTAAGGGTGATATTTTATATTATCGTCCTTCCCATATCACCCAGGTCAGTTGCTCCGTAATTCTTGTATCACAATTTAGAGATGTGAGCAGAACTTATCAGCAACATCGCAGTGTCTGAGGAGAAGTTATCATCAACGTTACAATATCTTCAGAGGAGACATCAAGCTTACTTATGTCAAGCGTAAAACTGTCTAAGGAAGTGGAAAATAATACACGAAATAGCCTGATAAACAAATACTCGAGTATTCTACATATTTTTATACGACCGCAAAAACATTTTGTGGTCGTATATTGGTATGACGTTGGCGTCGTCGTCGTCCGAAGACACATTGGTTTTCGCACTCTAACTTTAGTTTAAGTGAATGGATCTTTTTGAAATTTTACCATAAGGTTAAATACCACAAAAGGAAGGTTGGGATTGATTTTGGGGGTTATGGTACCAACAGTTAAGGAATTAGGGGCCAAAAAGGGGCCAAAAATAAGCATTTTCTAGTTTCCAGACAATAACTGTGGAACGGTGTATGGATCTCTCTGAAATTATACTACAAGTTTCCATACCACAAAGGGATGGTTAGGATTTGCTTTGGGGGGTTATGGCTCAAACTGTTTAGGAATTAGGGGCAAAAAAGGGGGAAAAACAAGGTTGTCCTGGTTAATGGACAAATACTTTAGTACAAAACATAATTTAAAGCAGTGTAATGGAGATAAATCAAATACATCATTGAAATTATCCCCCTAACCCTGCTTTTAAATTATGTATAAAGTAATGGTTAATGAACAATAAAGATAATTCAAAACAGTGTAAGGGAGGTAATCCAAATACAACGTTTTGGTTACTTCCCTTACACTGCTTTTAAATTATGTTTAAAGAAATGCATATTTATAAAGGAAGACCAGTAAAAATATCTGCAAATGTTGCATCATTTTTTTTTTATAAAAAAATCCATATGAAAGATTTGACACTATATTTTTAATTCTATTATAAAATAGATTAAGTTAGCACTATGGTAAATTTAAATGGGTAATTATGGTTGCCAACTCCATTGGAAATTTGAATTTAGATTATCACCATATCTTGAGGGAAAGAATTTTTTAGGGGAAAAAAGGGGGGGGATAAAAAGAAATTGTGGGGGGTCAATTTTTTCTCATTTCAGATTTCAGAAATTAAAAAGAATTATTCTTCAAATATTATTTTTTTTTCAAATTTCAAATATTGAAAAATTTCAAGAAGTAATCTTTAATTGCACAGTATGGCACATTAGATTTGTTAAATCTTTGAACACATTTATTTATTTGTTATGCCGAATCTAACAGTGTATTTAGATTTTTAATTTTGGGTCCAGTTTTCAAAATAGTCTACATTAAGGTCCAAAGGGTCCAAAATTAAACTTTGTTTGATTTTAGCAAAAATTGAATATATGAGGTTCTTTGATATGCTGAATCTAAACATGTATTTAGATTTTTGATTTTTGGCCCAGTTTTCAAGTTGGTCCAAATTGGGGTCCAAAATTAAACTTTGTTTGATTTCAACAAAAATTGAATATATGGGGTTCTTTAATATGCTGAATCTAACCATGTATTTAGATTTTTAATTTGTGGACCCTGTTATCAAATTGGTTCATATTGAGGTCAAAAGGGTCCAAAATTAAACTTTGTTTGATTTCATCTAAAATTGAATTATTGGGGCTCTTTGATATTCCAAATCTAACCGTGTATTTAGATTTTTAATCATGGGTCCTGTTTTTTAAATTGGTCTACATTAAGGTCCAAAGGGTCCAAAATTAAACTTAGTTTGATTTTAACAAAAATTGAATTCTTGGGGTTCTTTGATATGCTGAATCTAAACATGTGTTTAGATTTTTGATTATGGGCCCAGTTTTCAAGTTGGTCCAAGATAGGGTCCAGTATTTAAACTTTGTTTGATTTCAACAAAAATTGAATATATGGGGTTCTTTGATATGCTGAATCTAAACATGTATTTAGATTTTTGATTATGGGCCCAGTTTTCAAGTTGGTCCAAATTGGGGTCCAAAATTAAACTTTGTTTGATTTCAACAAAAATTGAATATATGGGGTTCTTTGATATGCTGAATCTAACCATGTATTTAGATTTTTTATTTGTAGGCCCTGCTATCAAATTGGTTCATATTGAGGTCAAAAGGGTCCAAAATTAAACTTTGTTTGATTTCATCAAAAATTGAATTATTGGGGTTCTTTGATATGCCAAATCTAACCGTGTTTTTAGATGTTTAATTTGGGTCCCGTTTTTTAAATTGGTCTTCATTGAGGTCCAAAGGGTCCAAAATTAAACTTAGTTTGATTTTAACAAAAATTGAATTCTTGGGGTTCTTTGATATGCTGAATCTAAACATGTGTTTAGATTTTTGATTATGGGCCCAGTTTTCAAGTTGGTCCAAGTTGGGGTCCAAAATTAAACTTTTTTTGATTTCAACAAAAATTGAATATATGGGGTTCTTTGATATGCTGAATCTAACCATGAATTTAGATTTTTTATACCCCGTTTATTATTATGATATATATACCATTGTCCGTCTGTCCGTCCGTCTGTCCGTCCGTCCGTTGTCAACATGTCGGACATTAACTCAAAAACACTTTATCCAATTTGCATAAAACTTTGGTGAATTGTTTATATCTATTGACCTAAGCTCCCTTTCGTTTTTTATATATTTAAGATTTTACGTTTCCGAGTTATGGGGTTTTATTCATTAAAAAAAGGGGGATTTTCCAGTTTCTGGACAATAACTCAAGAATGCTTTCACCAACTTGCAAGAAATTATGGTGAATTGTTTATATCTATTGACATGAGCTCCCTTTCGATTTTTATATATTTCAGATTTTACGTTTCCAAGTTACAGGGTTTTATTCATTAAAAAAGGGGGATTTTCCAGTTTTCGGACAAAAAATCAAAAATGCTTTCAGCAGTTCTTATGAAACTTTGGTGAATTGTTTATATCTATTGATGTAAGCTCTGTTTAGAATTTTATAAATTTTACATATTACATTTCTGAGTTATGGGGTTTTATTCATTAAAAAAGGGGGGATTTTCCAGTTTTCGGACAATAACTCAAAAATGCTGTCAGCAATTCTCATGAAACTTTAGTGAATTGTTTATATCTATTGATGTAAGCTCCCTTTACATTTTCATAAATTTCTAATATGACATTGAGAATTAATTGAACTTTAATTGTTTATAGTCTGACAACAGATTTACTAAGTATTGCGCAACAGCACAGTGTATTGCACAACAACAAGAAATCTTTAATTGAATATAAATTCGATTCATATAACCAATTTCAAGTTCTTTGACTACATTTATTCAGAAACCTATAATATGTCAAATATTTAATACAATCCAAATTCAGACCTGTATCAAGCTTGAATTTTGTGTCCATTTTAGCCCCAACTGTTCAGGGTTGGACCTCTGCGGGCGTATCCAGCTGCGCACAGCGAAGCAGTTTATTGAAACATGTATAGAAACTTGATAATGAATACTTATATACAACTATGTTGCCGCTAATTTATGCAGTTTGTTTTACTCTATTTCTAATAGAGGACTAGACTTTAGAAAACAAACCATTTCCTGTAGATATACTACATGTACTTTGTTTTTCAAACTTAAATAATGAAGTTTAATTGATTCAAAAGATTGTCATTATCAGGAACACTATCAAAAAGAGTATTGCTTAGATATGAAAACTTCTATCATAATGCATACAGCTTATAATTAATTTGTTCTTGACATTGTTTCAATGGTTATTAAACTATTATTATTGTGTGTTCTAAATAGAAAATGTAGAATTATTTCTTCCAGGATTGAAAAATGGGTAAAAAATGTGGAAAATTTGTTAAGATAGGGTGATAACATTAGTTGTGTGAGCTTTTGCCATCCCTTTGCATCTCTCATCTTTCTGTCTGTCCAACGTCCTGTGTAATCTTTTTCAAAGATTTTCTCCTCTGCAACCACTGGACCAATTTCGACCAAACTTGGGCTGAATAATCCTGAGAGTATCTAGTATTGGGTGAAATGCATTTTTTGGCTTATATCTCAAAAATTAAAGCTGTTACAACAAAATTGCCTGGGTAAATATTTAAGCATGTTAAGATTTATCTGCCACATCGGACAACCATATTTGGAGTTATTGCTCCTGAAATAATTAGTATTACAAAATTTCTGTTATTGGTTATTATCTTTAAATTATTATAGGTAAAGAGAAATTTTAAGCAGCAAAAATGTTCAGTGAATTAAGATCTACAAAATTTGTAGTACAAA